AAGACGTAAATGCAGTGTGTATACATATATAAGAACATAAAAAAAATGTCGATCGTTCTTATGGAAATGCTATTTATGCAAAAAGCTCTAAAACTTTATCTTTCAAGATTGATTGGATACTTGTTAATATTTCATAAACAAATTGTAGAGTCAATTTTGTTAAATTCACTTACATACTTATTTGAAAAATTAATTTGTTATGTAACTTTCCATTCTAAATATTTAATGTCCTAGTTTTTAAACTGGCGCAGTTTGAGAGAATATTTTTTTAATTAAATAATTATTTTATCAGTAGTTTTATATTTGGTTGAAACAAGAGAATTATTACTTGCACTGGTGCACGAAACTCTTATATCTAAAAGTAAAGCATGAGATTGCTGCTATAAAAATTAAATAATCAATATGTAATGCAGAGTGGTAGCAAATGTTGATGTAATTAATATAACTGGTTTTCACGGTGGTAAATACATATAAAAAGTTTTGATTATTTATATAACCATTAATAAACTGTATTGAATACGTAATTGTTATAACTTTTATCAAATTTCAATCCAAATGCATATAGAATTGTTATACAAACTTTTGCTGTGTTTCATTCTTTTTTAATTATATTACTGCTGGTGTTTTGTTCGTAATGTTTAAAAAAATCATAATTTAACTATTACCTCAACTACCTGCAAAAAATATAAATTCAGGTTTAGACGTAAGAAGTAGGTTATTAGTTTGGTGAACGAAAATTCACTCTTACTTTGTGGTGGGAATGGAAGTGTGGTCTACCAAAGTGGTAACCTATTATTAATATATTATCTAAACAATACATAATAGTATTTTACTTCCTGATGCTGCGATTTATTTAAAAAAGTTTTAATTCATTTAGTTTTAGAAATTTTTATGCTATCTGAGTTTTTAACATAGTAACATGCAGCTTTCAAAAATTCGTGATAAACTTTATTATAATACGAGTAGATTAGTTTTGGCCGTGTTTATTTTTTTAAGTCAATAAGTAAGTTTGTAATTTTTTCAATTGCATAACGTTATTTAAAAAATAATCTCATTAATTTGAACCAATGTTTATCAAAGTTATTGATAACAAGTTGACAAATCAACTTTATGCGTAAATAAAATGAAAAGAAATTTTACATAATTGTAATGCCGCTCAATTTATTGTTCAATAAATCAATAAAAAAATATGTCAGAATTTTTGTAATATACTGTTTTGAAAACGTGCAGAGGAAACAGATCGCAGAAGTAGACACGAAAAAGGCAGCATCAGTCAAGAGTCGAAGACTGCTGCATCATCCCCTGGAGAGACGTCCGGTGCTTCCCAGTTGGTATCCAAGGATTGTCTAGGTGATGATAAAAAGAAGTATGGTCTCTTCCTAGTGAGATAAAACAGCTGACGTAAGACCCAGAGATGCCAGAAAGTGTCGTCTCCGGAGGGAAAGTGTTTGCACATTTACTACCGAGTTTTCTTAGGTGTGAAAGGAGAAGAAAGTATGACAAACTTGAAAAGTGATAAATTTCTTAAGAACTTGGTAAAAAAGTCGTCGTCATTATTGTCTCCTGTCTTGTTCCTCTTTGTACCTTTTTGTATATCTTCTTTTTTAAATCTTTACCAAAATCTTTTTCATCATATTTCTTCAAAACTTTAACAATTGAATTTTTTAAGCTCCTTCAATATAGTATTTTTTCCATTAATCAACAATCATAAAAAATCATACAAAAATATTTGATTATTTTTAAAAAAAAACACCACTTGGAATGCATCTGAAATTTTGTTACTCATTCTCAATGATCACTCTTTATTTTTAACTCTAGAGTTCGGTAAAAAATGTATTAAAAAGTTTTTCTCCTGCAGGTTGAATTTCAAATTATCTAACTGATACCTAGTCTGTCAACAACCTATAAGACTCTTTAAAAATTCGAAATTAGAAATTTTTTTTTACTGAATAAGGGATTTAAAAAAAAAATATGAAAAAGCTCTCTTATTCAAGATATTCTATCAAATGTTGAAAAATTTCATCAAAGTACAACTGAATGAACCTCCGCAAATTTGATTTCCCAAGGTAATATCTGTGATTACAACACAAGACTCTTTGGACGTGGTTTATTTGATATTTCCAGTTTTCCAAGCAATTTTCTAGTGCAATAAAGATTCTGTTTTATTTTCTTTTCAAACAATTGCTCCTTCGCTTTAATGTTGTTGTTATTTTGAATTGTATAACAGAATGTTTTTTATTTTTCCTCCTGTCTTCAACACTCACTTGACCAGTAAAAAATGATATAAAAAAATAACCAACCATTATGTAATAAAAAATTGGACGAATTTATTTAATATTTTGTTAAGGTTTACTTCTGTGAAACAAACAGAGTATTATTGAAAATAAGTGGAATGGCAAACTAGAGAAGAATAGGAACAATGCGAAAAGGTTAGCGATTCGAATTTAAAAGGAATGCCTGTCTCAAGATAGGTACACTCTATAGGTATAGAGGTAGACAATAGGAAGGAGGAAAGAACATTGGAGGAATAAGAAGAAGACTACGTTTATCGCTGACAGTAAAACTTACGTTCTTTGATATTGGATTTCATTCGATCGATCTTGTAAAACTATTCTTAACAGCCTATTTTTTAACTAAAGTAGAATAAAGCTATCTCCAAATATTATAGCTGTTATTTAATATTTTTAAAAATTATTTAAACTTGAAAAATTCGATTAATTTGTTGAAATATATCGCAATGATGTTGAGATTGTTTAATAATTTCCTGACTTTCGATACTTGAATTTAACTTACAGTTGCTTGCACTGCATCGTAGTGTGTATCAAGGAGTTTGTTATTCAGAGCGTTCGATATCTCGTTTTGACGATTTCAGGATTCTAAGCACGTCTTCTGGTTATCGTTAGTGCCTGAGGAATGTTTTTTTCGTCGGATCATCTAACCGAAGAGTGAAATGCATCTTTCTTGTCAATCTCACATGGTAACCATTGCCTACTTGTAGTAATCATTCATTTTCTTCCAAAATAATTTTTAAATAATTAATTAGAGGATTTTTTTTTGTTATTTAAAACGAGATGCTGATGGTGTTGGAAAGAAATTACTTTGAGAAAATGGAATTTGTTGATTGCAGTAATAATGTTCATTTTTTGTGCTGAATCTAAAGATTACACAGTGTATTTTCCAGACCATTATAATTGTGATAGTTAACAGAAAAAAGCTTTAATGTATTGTCATTCACTAATACGATGAGAAAAGGACGCCCGTAAAGGATTAGCGAGAACATCAGCGTCAAGAATAATGGATTATCAGACGTGGTGGAAATTAGTAAGTGGCTTCAGGTAATTGCGCGAAACCAACATGCTCTATGTCCTTTTCCAATCCCTTTTCTATTCTTTTTTCTTTCTCTTTAACTCCTGCTCTATACCTCCTACCATCCTATACACGTCTGTCAGCGGATCCAGTTAAGCCAGCTCGAGAAAAGCGTCGACATGACGGAATAATTTGCGGCTCCGTTCTTTCATTCCCTCAGGTGACTTTGAGGCTTGACTAGGAAAAAAAATGTCAAGAAAAAAAAATCCATCGTCCAAAGTCACAAATCCTAGTTCAAAGGATCATAGAAAAGGAATAAAAAATTCTTAAGTAGAATTTAATAGAATTCCCTTTCAAGTTGGATTTGATTTTTTATTATTTTCAGATTAAATAATTTATAATCTTCTATCAGTGACATACACTTTAAACTGCTTATCCCGAACATCTGTTTGCATGAGGACACATTTTTATGAAAGAGAACATTTTATCTATCCTACATACAAAAAAAAAAAATTATGATAATAAAAATGTCTTTCAGGATTAGCAGAAAAAAATTTTAATTTGTGATAAAATTTTATTCAATCATACGTTGTCACTAAAAAAAATGCAAGAAGAACAAAAATAGTTGCTACTACATTATTAACTATTATGTTCTAATTTTCTAGAATAATAAACAAAAACTAGTAATAAACAGTAACTAGTGTATACTAGTTACTGTTTTGTAATTACAAGCACAATTTAAGGGAATTTTTATAATTTATTATTTTCTTTTTTTTTAAATAATTATGAATTTTTTATCAAAAAAAAATTGTAATTTGCGATAAAATTTTATTCAATAATACATTGTCAATAAGAAAGAATGCAAAAAGAACAAAAAATGGTATAGGTCGATTATCACATGCTATCGAATGAAAAAAAAGTTCATTTGTTCCTTGTTCCAATATCATTTTAACTTGTTGCACATTTAATTCAGCAAATAGCACAATGAAGATTATCAGAAGGTACCAATTCCTCGATGTAATAAAAGAATTTAAAAAAAAAAATAATAAAAAGAGTAAATGTGAGTAACATATTTCAAATGTTTGAAGATACTAAGAAAGTTTCAAATCCTACACTTATTCAATGGATCATCAATAATGATCATTAATCTTCCGACAACAGTTTTCCTGATTCAACATAAATTTTATGGAAATTTTATGAAAACAAAACAAGTTTGAATCAAATAATGGAAAAAAGGACAAAACAATGAACAAGCGAACCAAAAGAGTAGTGGAGAGCTACTAGCAAAAAGAGAGATAGATAGATAAGTAAAAAAAGAATGGCTAGGACGATGAGGGAAAAATGTAATATATACTAGATAGAATAGACCAACATGTATAACGATTATTTGTTTACTCTTGTCGTGCATTTAGTGGATACAATGACAGGGAGTGCTAGCATCAATATTGTCAATGTAAACTTGACTATTTTAACTAATACTGTCAAGTCCTTGCTTACATTGTTCATGATTATTTCTCTTAAACAACTAGCTCTCCTTTATTTAACTTTTTTTTCGTCTATCAAACATTTCTGCTCAACTGTGTTTATAAAAATAAACATTGTAGCTGTTCATAGTAAATATATTTTTTTTACCTAATGTTTATCGAAGTCAAATTATTCTACTTAAAAATGAGAATGAAAAACTGTTCATTTGGTAAAAGTTGTTCAAAAATTTCTGTTTTAATTGTTATTTAATAGTAATACTGAAGTAATGTCATGAATTTATCAATAATCATGTCTATTGGTTATACCGATATCAAAAAGTCTATAAAGTAACTTAATTTATCAGACTTATGTGTTTTCCAATGACTATCATGAATGTGTTTATCAGTAACTGGTCGAATACAGAACCCTTTTACATTAATTTTCTTTCTAATAGGTCCATTTTGAAAATTTTCTTTGTAAGTAAGAAAATAAAAACGATCATCATATTTCTTAGCATAAAGTGGTGAAGTTGACCAGCTAAATCCTTCGTTTGTATTTAAACTGGACTTTGCTTCAGCTACAGGTGATACTAAATTACCCTCTGTAGGGTTTACATAAAATTGATCAACTATATTTTGAGTGGCAGTTGCATGTGCGATACTACTACTTCTAATGAAGCTCCATGATCCATCAGCATAACCAAACAGGCGTGGAATGAATGCTGATTTAGGTAAAATAGTCACACTGAGAAAATTATTTTCACCGACATCGATAGCAAATTGTTTATACTCAATATTCAAAGTATCATAGAATTTCTTATTTTCATTACAAGGGCTAATTATGTATGTGAATCTTTGAGGATTAACACCTACACCATCATCTTCAACAATAATCTTATCCCATTTAAGTGCTAATACTCCATCAGGACCAAAATCACCTTGAAGCAATCTATTGTCAGGACTACGCCTAAAAGGTATACCCCAATCACGTTCTCTAGTAGCACAAAATACAGTAGCATCATTTCCAGAAAAAGCATGGATTGCTTCAGCACCAGTATGTTGACCAGTTAGTGGACAAATGGAACATGGATCGATCAATTTATCTAGAGGTTTAATATTGGATGCAATATCTCGGTGATAATAATCATCAGCATCAATTAAATTATCTTTAAATTCTGGTGGGATTAAAATTGAAGTCCAGTTCATGACACTTGTTACTTTCTTTGGAGTACATACTGGAAATTCAACATCATCATCTTCATTTTTGATACGAGTACTCTCTTCTTCTTTTTTACACACACATTCGATAGATTCAAATTTATTGTTAATATCATTAACTTTTCCATCACAGATAAAAGGAGTTTCACAAGCATCAAATAATTTTAAATTTCCAATATATCCTGGTCGATAACACACACATACTTTCATGTAGGAATTGTCTTCATTAGATTTTTTAATTAATGCCCAGTAACCATGAAATATATTACATCGATTGCTGAGATGATGGATATTCATGCAATATCCTTCATTGGGATCTTTATTTTTAATTGTAGTACTTCGAGAACGATCATTATTAAAGTGAACTTTAGTTGCTTTATCAAAATGTTCACAAACTGTGTTTGGATATTTACTACAAGAATTAACATCATCAATTTTGCACTTTTGTTTATATATTTCTGGTATATTTTCTGGAATATCAGGTAAATCTTTATCATCAGGAATAGGTTGGAATCGTGCTTTAGATGAAAATGGTTGTAAGTTGTATCGAGTTGATTCAGGATCTGTGTTTATTAGAGAACAAATAATTAAAACAAAAAAAGCCACAGCTACCATTGTGTACCACTTCATGCTGATTGACTATCTGCGAATTGTTTGAAATTACTTTTAAAATACCTTAACTTGTCTATTGATATTTTGTTTCTTCTAATATATGGTGGCAACAAATTAATTTCAATAATATAACATTTGACAATTACAATATTGTCATGTGCATATTAATGGTTTCTTATTCGAATGATGTATGAATATTTTACTTTGCTTTTTAACTTTCTAGAGTAAAAAACTTTAAAGATTAAATATTCATGTTATTTCAACCTTGTTGCATTAATTATTATACAGAACTGTAATTAATCATCACAGCAACCCTTTTCATATTTTTTTTTTCAAATTCACCCTTCAAAATATCTTCCAGTTTATTTGATAATTTGCTCTCTCACTGTTTCTCTCAAAACGTTGTTTTTACTCTACTATTATTTTTTCTTGTTCTAACTCTCTTTATTTTTATCCCTATAATTCATCCACCTCACCACTTTGAGGCTATTTTTCAATCTGGTCAACACCCTCAGTGCCCTCTTTTGTTATATCAACTTTATTACGTTTCAATGTAGCCTTTTTTCGTGACTATGTAGTGTATAGTGATAAGAAAAGCTGCCTGGCAGTGACTTTGAGATATTTTCTTTGAATCTTTATATATTGGTTTTCAAACGATTCATTAACTAATTCAAACTGTCAATTTTTAGGGTTTTTTATGAAGGAAAAAATAAAAAAATTCCGGATGAGTTCAATCTATATTTGTTTTCTCGGAAGTAAGGGTGAATAAAAAAATGTAAATGTCGATTCAGTAGATGCATTTGATTGCTCACTGATGTTGGGGGATTGAAAATGATGAGTCAGAGAAAAAAAGTGAATTTTTTGTCTTCTGAATTGAGACGAGAGTAAGTTAAATTTCATCATTGAGGGGGTGTCGCAGCACAGTTTATGACCGACAGCTATGTCGGATCTATGCCTCGACGATTTCAATTTCGATATCTGTAAGATAATGGTACAATTCGTCGAGCTATTCGCCTTGCCGGAAGCGAATGAATTACAAGCAACAAGCCTGAGGGTAAGTATTGAAGATATAAACCTAGGGGTTGAGATTATAGTTGCTGCGAGTTATTGAATCAGGAACATGTCCATACAAAAAGCTCGTATTATACCGTTGTAAAATTGACATTTGCTTCAATGGAGTGTAATAATCTTAGTGGAATATTTTCAGATGATTCCGGATTTAATTAAAATACCGACCAGATATAAATATACGATCTCTACCGAAAGAAATTAAATCCCTGATGGAGTACTAACTGGTATTAATTTTGATTGAGATCTTTTTATTTGATGTGAACTTCCTCTATGTTAATTTCTTAATTATTTAATTGTTAAAAAAAGTAATGTGGGGAAAAATAATAAAATCATCAGCGAAGTAATAAATGTAATGTTGATGGTAATTGGTATAGCATTTCCCTGGCAGATTTTAGTCTTAAAAAATTTTTTGCGATTTCATGGGCTATGAAGCAGAAAATGGAAGACATAATACACCCGTCACAATTTTACATTCGAGAGGATAATCTTATCCGTTGAGGAATAAGGTGCGTGGGATCCGATCGTCGTGGTTGGCATTGACATTCAATTTGCCAGTAGGAGTGTCGTGGGGTGAGTTTGCTTCAACTATGTAAGGATGAGGTAATCCCTAAGGGCATTGAGTGGAGAGTGGACGTTGTCGCAATTTATTTAATCCACCTATGTTAAGAGTTTTAACAGATTCTTCATGATATTATAATAAAAAATAACTTAGAAGAATAGACACAGGGGAAAAAGAGTCAAGTGGAACGCTTGAAGAAATGTTTGCATTAATCCATTGAAAATTATCAACATTTGATAATATATTAGTAAATTTTTTGATTTACGTTTATTCTTCATGTTCTATTCTACCCCATCCCCCTATTTATATCCACAGAACATTATTGGCTATGTCTCATTATAACAAATCTTCAACTGATTTGAAATTCATTTTTGAATAAAAAAACTTTTTTATCAATTTTATTCACCATCCAAATGGCTTGGATGTACAAAAAAAAAGATCTATAAATGGTGAAAAAAAGTGTGAATAAAATGATTTGAATAAAAAAAAATTTCACCAACTGTGAAAAAAAGAGACAAACAGACAGATCTGGTAGTTTTAGTGACTGAAGAATAGCTGGAATGAAGAGCAAGAAATTCTAGATGATGCCACTCTGGTGCATTAGAGGTGACTGGAGAGGAAAAGGATGCTAGCTGGACGCAGTGGATGAGAAAATAATATTTGTCAACGAAGCACAGACTCAGATGATATCAAAGCAAAACAAATCATATTCTCACCGAGTCAGTAGATCTTTTTATTGTATTTTTTTATTGAGTTATTTTCTTGCCATCTATTCAAAGGATCTTTGCTATATTAATTCAACAAATGAATGAAAAATTGGTTCATTCAAACTTTATAATCAATTACATTATTAAATTTATATTAATAATAATTCAACCTACTTTATTTACTGATGAAGCCATTATGTTTATGGGTATCTGATGAATAATAAAATATTCCTGTCCATCAGTTTTTATTATTTCTGTATAAATATATTTTTAAAAATATTTTATTATTATAAAAACCCATTAAAAAGGGTAAAAAAGCTTCAATTAAGTGTTGAAAAACAGTAAAAAGCTTCCTTTAAAAGTATTATAGCAGTAAGATAATAAACCGATGAAGAAACATAAATGTAATATTTTGATATCCTTTTCATAAATTAGTTGAGGCTAAAAGCGCAACTGAATGTGAAGATAAAAGGTATATAGCACTCTTTATCTCTCTCTTTCACTTTGCCACAGTTTAAACCGTAAATTTGATTCGTTGTTTATGAAATTGAATTCGCGAATGGAATCGTTGAATGCTCGTATGGATTTGTCTTCCGGAAATAAAGCGTTTCGGCCCCTGTACATGAATACAGTGCGATGCAATTACCAGTGAACGAACCAGAGAATGAATACGATAGAGTTAACACTAGCACTTGCTTTACTTTAGTAGTATGACTATGTTATTCCTTTGTATGTTTAGATCAGTTTAAATTGAAACGAGCTTTCAGTGTTACTGAAATCTCTTCAAGTCTTCTAACTATTCTGTAATCATGACATGTAGGCATCTCTGATACTCTTTTCTTCTTTTGTAGTTAAACAAAACAACAAAGATTTCTTCAAAATTAAATTAAATTAATACATCAGAATCTACTCCTTGGTCAAGGGTCTTTTTTATTTGCTACAAATGTTTATTATAGAACTAGCTTTAATTAATGTTTTTTATACTTCACATATTTCTTTCATTAGGTATTATATTCTTGTATGTAACAAATCTTGATAATGTAAAATTTCCTGAAAATAGTGAGTTTTTTGTATTAATATTATTCAAGAGATGCTTTGAAAAGAGTTCTGGATTTTTGTTTACTTTGTTTCATTTTTCATTTATTTTTGGAACGTCAGAGAGCTCTTTTATCAACTAATTATGGACAGAGTCGTTAGATACGTTGATTAAAAATAGGTCTAATTATGGCACAAGCATTTACATGAAAAAACATACATGAACATTTAATTAAATTTCTCCACTTTAACTAATCATTTTCTGAAACTAATGATAAGTTAAACATTGAAATAGTTATTCCTTAAATATAAGAAAAATGAATATAATCCACATAAGTAATCTAGTCTTATTCTTTTATCAAAAGAAGTTGAAATACTTTAGTGCTACAAAGTCTTTGTGAAAAATTCGAGTCAACAATCTTCCATTTCTTTAAGTTAGTGAATATTAGTTGTCTTTTTATCACACTGATGTGCATAGCTTTTATTATTAATTAAAATTTATGTGGCTTTGCATAGTTGCTTAAAGATTCAAAGTAATTGAAGATTTTCAACATAAAGACGATGTTTGAAAGCATTGGCCGTTGTATTTCCTTCAATATTTAGTCAGACTGGCAAACTCATCAAAACATTCCTAACCTAATGTATGTTTTAACAGTGTTGCTACCTCGTAATTGTGATAACATCCTTGGTTTTAGTCAGCCGTTGTTGGTAGAGTTATAGTAGTACAGTGTATATGTAGTTTGCAGCGTCTAACAATCTACTCTTGACTAGAGCCTTGCAGAACCTCAAACCTGAGTGTTACCTACTCCATATGAATCAGCAGAGCTTCAATATGGTTCCCTTAATGTTACAAGAATTTATGCATTCTGCTAATCTAACATTTAACCCCAACTTTTAGGTGTAACCACCCACAAACAGAGCTAATTAGAGGAGATTTAATAACCTAACGGCTCGGTGAACAGCCTGATTAATTTTCGTATATGTATAGGCATACACTTTATATGGAACATTAATTAATTTGACCATTCGAATTCATAATTACCGTATATTTGATAGAAAATAGTTTATTTCAACCGTGGCTTTGGAATAAAAATAAAATCATTGCTAGATCACATTTTTGCTCATTGATTTATCAGTGATGTCATGTAGCATTGAATTGAAAAGCCAGTCGTTCAAAAATGAGATAAGTTTTTAAATTTTTATTCAAAGGTTTAGGAAGTTGTGATTAATTTATTTCCCAAATGATATAATTGAACTTATTCTTTTCAAATATCTACTAGTTTGAAATAATCATCCAATATTTGATAAGCTAACTATCAACTTAGTTGAGTTGTTTACTCAGATTGATTTATTCTAAATGCTTTCAGTTGTCATTGTTTTTTTTTTTCGAATCAGCTTATTATTTCAATCAAATTTTCTTTATTACAGAAGCAAATTAATTATTAGTCAATAATCTGCCCAGTCATCAGCTATCAAGGATTGCTAGACGTTATGATATTCATTAAATCGAACATATCCTATTACAAAATTAAGCCAGTTTATAAACTGAATAATCGATTTCATATTACATCATTTTGAATCCACTTGAAATAACAATTGTTTATACCGAATATTTAAAAAATTTCAAATAAGCTTTTCAGTTTCACCAACTTTACAAACCACCTGTAAACTGTATGACTTTTAAAGTGATATGATATTTTTCAAGTTGAATCTAAGTAAAAAATAACGATTTTCTTGATGGAAGATAGACAAAAATAGGTGACGTGTGTATGGAATTTTATCTCGTCAACTTTTCAAGAGATAAATATACAAACAAGATAGAAAGCGATGGGTATGCAAACTCTAAGAGAAAAGCACCATCTGTGGAACGCATAAGACATAGGACAAGTTTTCTCTCTCGAGTCGAAGTCTCCCCTAGGTGCAGGTGAAGAGAAACAGACAAGCACGGGTATACAAGAACTAGAATGTTGAGAAGTATATTTGTAAACATACATGCCACCACCAACGAGCGATGTCGTTGTAAATCCCTTTACATTAATATTAATGTTTCTTTGGCTTGTACCTGTGGTTTCTATTTCGAAAAATACATAATACTTGCACTGACTTCGATCATATTATATACGTATATTCTAACATATGAAACATGTGTCACCAAAATTGGTATCTTAATTTAATAGTTTCCAATAGTTTATTTATTTATCAAAGAGTTTTTAAAATATGAATTTATTGAAATGATTATTTAATGAAAATTTTATCAAACTTATGCTAATCTGGTCTGAGTACAGGTTCAATCAAAAAACTTAAATCAGTTCAACAACGATCATATCAGTATAGCTGGAAGCCAATGCTTGCATTCCTCTGATCTAGAATGGAATCGATACAACCATGATCGTAACTCGTGTGGAAGAAGTACTCGTTGTCCTAAAGCTGGAATTAATTGATAGTGATCAGATCGAACAACCAAAGGGCTATATCCTAAACCTAAGGTCATGAAGGATTAGCTCGAATTCATGTTCATGTATGTGTTACAAACAGTGGAATGTCAGAAATAATTGTACTCCTCTGTTTGTTGTGGCTTCACGAGGTACATACTATTTTGAAGCACATTAACTTGAAATCATAAAACAAGTAGAGATCTAACCCAACACCCTACCTACTTGACTCTCATTTCAATTGAATTTCGATTGAGAGACTATTTTAACTACTGCATTCAGTTTATAATGCCTGCTGCAGATATGTAAAATTATATTCAACAGCTTTTTAATTATAATCGATTGAGCTAAAACAGATGTCATTCATCAATGACATTATAATGAGGTGTTATGAGTGCAACAAGTATAAAATTAGAGTTTAATTGAAGATTATCATAACGTTGAAGTTACTAGATGCGTTACTTGAAGTACTATAAATAATTTATTTTACTCAATAAAATTGGCGATGAATCAGTCTATAAGTGAACTTTGATCCTAAAGTACTGTTTTTATAAAAAGAAACAATTTACAATATTTCGTCATTTTTCATTAAGAATAATTGACTAATAATTAATTGATTTACTATTTTAATAAAAGTCGGCTTCATTTGTAATTACAATGTTTTAATTTAATGATTAATTATGATGTAAAAGTTTTATCATTTTCAACTCAAAAAAAAAAAAATTTTTTTACCTGGAATTTCAATGCTCGATAATTTTAACAGTGAACTCCTGTCCACTTGTTTCAGATGTTACGCCATAAAACTTTTTTAATATATCACAATATTTACTCCAAAACTTATTATTTACTCCAAAATCTACTATTTTACTCCAAAACTTATTATTTACTCCAAAATCTACTATTCTACTCCAAAATTTATTATTTACTCCAAAACTTATTATTTACTTCAAAATTTATTATTTACTCCAAAATCTACTAACAAATATCACATCAGTTTACTGTTTTATAATTTTCTCCATAGTTTATCTTTATACTTAATATTTTAAATATTAGAAAAATATACTGAACTACGTAAAAATTCTAAAGGAAATTGTTTTCTTTTTTTCTTTAGTAACGTGTTTTAGTACTCCATTACTTAGTAACGTACACGAAATACATCGCTATAATTACAATAACATGTATTTACGTTTTAGCAACAATCAGAATGTATACAAAGTAAGATAAATTAATAGAATATGTTGTAAAAACGTATCGAAAGTTGTACATACTCGTTTTAACAACAATACATCGTCGGCCGGCACAGATAAGAGAGTTGTACGATAGAGGGAGAGACAAGCGCCTCGACGAAGGAAGGGAGAACGTTGTTGTGGTGAATCGAGTGCAGTTCTTCGCGATCTACCGTCCGGTTGACACGCACTTCAATGTAATTGTATTTGTACCATACTTTTTAAATTACAAATAAGCTAAATTCATTTTCTAATAATTTGTCTGTCATCTTTTATACTTTTTCTAACTATTTTTCATGAAAAACAACAATTAATTATTGTTATTACCGTAGATTGAACGGCAATTATTAATTTGTAATTGGATTATGACTGATTATAGGATATGATAAATTTATTACATTAAAGTGTGTTCAAAGAAGTGCTAGAATTTCAAATGAATAATTGTTAATGAAAACAATTTAAAATAGACATTTTTTAAGTGATAAAAGTTGCAAAGTTTTGTCGACTCTTACGCAGTTGCGGGCCGCAAGAGAGCGCAGTCGCTCGGACGACGTCGTACAAACTAGTCGTCTTCTCTCGTATTCTCGTTGCTTCTCTTGTGACTGTTTCACGCGATCAACGATCGAATGATTGCATTTAAATTCAATCAATGATAATTAATGGAAAATAATAAATAATAATTATTATTATAATTACAAAAGACAGCAACTGTGTTGTGAAAATTGTGAGTGAACAAATAAGTAAACTACGACTATTTATAAAATACATTTTTTAAATTAAAAAAAACTGTGAATAATCTGTGACAAAATGAAGTGCTGGAAAATGCCGGTATTTGGTGTGTTCCTGATTATTCTCCATGTTCTTGGAACTGTTCGCGGAATCACGGTGGACGAGAAAATGCGAGAGGATACTGATTTGTCTGAGGTAAGTTTTTTTTAGAGTCATTCGTTAGTATTCTAGTGTTATTTTGGTGAATGTATTCGATGAAAAGAGTTGTTTGATTAGCTTTGTTTGCTTCGTGCTACTGTTTATAATGATTTCCACTCGCTGGAATGTCTCGTCTGTTAGTCGAGGTCATGCTAGTAGCGAAGGACACGTACAAAATTGAAGTCAGGTCGACTGCAGAAATAAATCGAACGCGTTCTCCAGCGTCCTTGAACTTTAGGACGATGCAGCAACTATTCGGAGAAATTATTTTTGAACTTGAATTGTACTTTAGAATTGCTTTATATTTGTAGGAAAAGATTAATTCATCTAGGGATTAACATTTTTCTTGTTTATGATGAGAAATGAAATGAGCTATTGTTATTTATTTTCTATCAATCATAATACAAATTTGAATAATTATAAGCTTACTTGTCACACGATGATTTTTTTGTTTTCTTCTTGGTCAATGAACTATTAATAACTTAAATTACGTAATTCTGTGTCAACCAAATTTTTTAGTATTTATAGTGAAATTGAAGAATAATATTGGAGTAGTTTAAGTACTTTATTATTTTGGGATAAAAGAAGATATTTAAAAAAATTCTATGAATTAATTTGTTTTAAATTAAAAAAATTATATTTACTATTATTTTGGTTTATAACCTGTCAAATCAGATTAAACATTTTATTCGACAGCTGGTCATTCTTTTCTTCAACTATCAAAGTTTGATTTAAAATTCCAAAAGATACTGATATGATGTCTATATTTTTAACTCGTAAATTCCAGGATTATTTTCATGAGCCATAAAATAATATTTTATCTTTTGTGCTCTCGAATTCTCGCATTTTTCCGTTTAATTTTCAAGAATATACTTGAGAATGTCGACAGGTCACATTTTATGTAAAAATCTCATTTTTCTTATTATTAACACACATTTTATCCTTGATTTCAATTCATAAAATCATCTTATTATAATTGTTAATTAAATTAATATCGTAGCTAGTACATGAATAATGAATTTTAAGTATAGCTTTCTTTATTTATTTTTGTAATGATTTTTTTTTACGGATATTTACGGTGAATTAATGGATGAAAAAATGCTGGTGATGTGAACACATGAGTGACACACACACACGATTCATTAATCACCGATACAAAGAGTAGATGATTCTTTCGCATGACTCGGCGACTGTGTCACGCGCAAAAAATTCACTATCCCCCATCACTGTTTCCGGTCTTATAGTTTAACCACGATGCAGTCAAGTGTATGTAGTCTAAGGACGAAATACCACACCCAGTCACACCATTTTTCATTTTTTATCGTCTAATTCTATGTCTACTTTTTTCTTGGCTTCCTCTCTTATTCTTTAACAATAATCAAATGATAAATTTTACTAACATGAATGTTTGTCAATGGGACATCAATCGTACACTATTGTAAAAAATATTATAAATGCATTCGTTCATTTTGATTAATTAATTGATTATTAGTGATAATTAATCAAATTAGTCCTAATTAATCAATCGAGAAACTAATGTTCAAAGGTATATACTTATTCTAATAGACCTTTCATGTCATTATCATTTTTCAACTATTTTTAGTTAAATAATTGACGATTTTTATTTTCGTTGGTAAAAAATTGATTTATAAATGAGTTTTAAATCATTTAATCTTTTTAATTACTGTTAAGTTTTGTTATTGTTATAAATGAAGTCGAAATAGACAGGCAAAAAAATAAGTGAATCATTGATTCAAATGGTGGGATTAAATGAAATATATGTTGTGAAAAAAATGAGCATTCTTAAATGTTTTATTATTGAAACTAATTTAGAAAAAAACCATTAAAGTCGTATTGATAATGAAAAATGGCTAAAAGATGGAGTCTTTGTGGAAAATATCCCGCATGATACTTCAAGTTGTATTCAATTTATATATCATCCACATCCTCTCTATCCTCATCTCAATCCCATGGATATCTTTAACAATCGTTTTACTTCAGAGCTTCCGAGAAGCTGATGCTCCTTTATCTCTCATTGTTCTCTCTTGTTTCTGTTTCTCAAAAGAGAGATACACTCTATACGGGCGTTTAAATATAACAGATAATGAAATGTAACTTAGATTTACTTTCAATTGGGTTTAACTGTTCGCCTGAGCATGACTAAAAGACCGTTTTTTATTTTATCAATTGATTACAACTAAATTAATAAGATAATTAATGCTTAGAGACATTAATATGACTGGTAATGATTCGAATATCGAAAATAAAATGGCTTTTTGATGACCGCTAATTTTTGGTCCGGAAAATAAGAGAATAGCTCGTATGATGTAATCAATGGGGAAAAAATGTGTAAAAAAGTGGAAGATGAGAAAAAGAGTTTAAAACGTAATTCAGGGCAATCAGCGAGTTCGGGACAATTGACTCCAGCTTCGTGACGCAGCTGAACAATACTAATTGGTTAATTGAAGCGTGTCTATAGTTTTGTATTCAAGACTTGATATTTCTTTCATAATTGCTTCTATTTTTCCTCTTTTCCTCTCATTTTTTACTCTTAATCGTTCTTGCAGTGCTTATTGCTCGCTGTTGGTCTTGATTTATCACCGAACATTGAACTGGATGGTTGACTGTTACACATGGTGATTCTTTCTTGGCAACGAATATACCATTTTCATTTAAATAGTAACTATTTATTTAGCATGAGTTACGTTTGAAAAAGAGAAAAAGCTATTGTATTAGGTATAACTATATAAACAATTCATTTCCGTTTTTCCACCTGACCTAGATAGTAATATTTTTTGTTTTGTGGGATGGATCTGTATCCTTGGCCTTCATTTGATGCTTCGCTTAGTTTTATTTAAAATGAAAAGTGTTGGTTATTTTTTCTTTTAAATTAAAGTAATAATTTTCCTTTTAACTATTGATTTAAATTATTTTGTAGTTAATATTTTGGTATGAAATTAAGGTATTTGAAAACATCAATTTACTCGAAAAGTTCAAAAAAATTGGTTCAGGATGAAAAAATTCACTAAAATAGTATAGTAGTAATAAAACTCTATGATTCAATAAAATTTGTTGTATTGAAAAAATTTTTATAAAAAAAAGATTACGATTCATCAGTTAAAATAAAGCATAAATGTTTTCAATCCTTCTTTGAAGTTTATTCAAAAAAATGTTTTATCAATATTTTCGGTAAACTTTTCATTGAAATCAATTCAGTTATTATTCACTCAAAAAAAAAGAAAACTTCTGAATTTATTTAGCATTTGAAAAATGATCTTGATTTCTCGATACACTTCAAGGTGTACTCACTTGAAAGCATAAAAAGTAAATAAATAAATCAGTAAATAGACAAATGAACCAACAATGGAGTAGTTTTCATTTATCAAATTGACTTTTGTCCTATTTTCATTCTTATTTTTCAAGCAATTTGATTCCATCAATCACCATCTCTTCCTCTTTTTCATTTAATTTTCTATATCTGAAAGCAGAATACATGAACTTTGGATACGCATGTAAAGTTGATTTACTCACGAACAATAGTTTTAATCGATTTTGCGGAATATGCCAGCTGTCATTCCCAGATAATACAATTCTGGAGATATTGTCCTCCTCAAAGACAAGTAGACGTAATGTATTATAATACCTACGTATAAGCATCAACTTATATTTTTCATTGACTCATCTGCTTCTATTATTTGTGCTAAATTTTTTAAAAATGAATTTAATCATTTTCGCTTTGATTAAATATTCATCTCTTATTTTCGCACAGAAAAATTTTTAAAATAAAAAAGAAGAAAAATACGATTTTTTATCTCAATAAAAATTTAATAACACTATGATGCATAAAAGAACAATCAATTGAAGCAATTAACTTTGTTTATTAGGATTCTCAGCTTCCTCTTGTGCTGACTTTATTTGACATAGAGTTGATAGTAGAAATCGATAGTCGCAATAGCGTCAAATGTCCTCTCGAGATGACATTTGCAAGTGGAGTAGAGAGAATTTGCAACAGAAAGTGAGGCATGAGAGGAGAGCAGAGAATTGGAGTGAAGGTAAAAGAACCGGAAAGAAGATGGGTATTGAAGAAGAGTGAGGAACTTTATGTTCAGACTTTATTGACTGGAATACGACTGTTGAATCGTCTAGTTAACTATCACTGTTCATATCTCACTTTGATTCATAATTTTCCCTTTCCCTTCTTCACACTCATTTTCTCTATCTCAAGACCTCATCTTTTGTTACATCATGTCAGAGCATAAGCTTATGGGTTTCGATTTCATATCAGCTTAATCTGACCACATTCGCAGGAGTATCTTTTTTTTATCATTATGTAGATAGACATCATCTATTGCTATTACTTTAAACGAGATTTTTCTCATTGATAGGTGAACTCTCGAAACCTCAAAACCATAACAAAATAACCAAATAATATTTAAATATGTCAATAATATTATTTCTCTAAATAGTTGAACAACTTTTGAAAAATAACATTTATTATATAATATTAATTAAATTTTGAATGAAATCTTTCTGAGTATTCGAATAATAATCATCAAATACCAACTCATGGATAACGTCATTGTAAAACCGTTCATAACTGTGTGTGGTTGAAACAAAATTCACTTTTCAGAGAAAGCCGTCAAATATTTATGCATTTATTACAATTTGTGGTATAATTTATTGTTTGTTTATTTTACGAAACTAAAATTGATTGTAAAAACATCGAAGTAAATTTCAAAAGCTACAATTATATTAATATTCATTGAAAATTTATTTAATAGATAATAAATATTCAAAAATTACACAATTTACTTATTACACAATTCTATTTATCATAAAACCGTATAAAAAGTTTCAATAATTTTTACAAGTTCTTTATTCAAATGATTAATATGATAAAAAAAAAAAACATGAAAATACTTACATTTGAAATATCAATTACAATTCATTAATTTAATATTTCACATAGCTGATAATGGTGAAAAGTCAAAGCAAAA